CTACTTTGATCGAAACCAAAAATGCTTTAAATTGCATTTTAAAACAAATCTAGGTATTATAAATGATAAATAATGTTAATTGAGATATAAAATCGATATTTTTTTGAAAATAGCCTGCTATGATCGAAACCAAAAATGCTTTAAATTGCATTTTAAAACAAATCTAGGTATTATAAATGATAAATAATGCTAATTGAGATATAAAATCGATATTTTTTTTTGAAAAAAGCCTACTTTGATCGAAACCAAAAATGCTTTAAATTGCATTTTAAAACAAATCTAGGTATTATAAATGATAAATAATGTTAATTGAGATATAAAATCGATATTTTTTTGAAAATAGCCTGCTATGATCGAAACCAAAAATGCTTTAAATTGCATTTTAAAACAAATCTAGGTATTATAAATGATAAATAATGCTAATTGAGATATAAAATCGATATTTTTTTTTGAAAAAAGCCTACTTTGATCGAAACCAAAAATGCTTTAAATTGCATTTTAAAACAAATCTAGGTATTATAAATGATAAAGAATGCTAATATAGACATAAAATCGATATTTTTTTGAAAATAGCCTACTATGATAGAAATCAAAAATGCTTTAAATTCCAATTTAAAACAAATCTAGGTATTATAAATGATAAAGAATGCTAATATAGATATAAAATCGATATTTTTTTGAAAATAGCCTGCTATGATCCAAACCAAATATGCTTTAAATTGCATTTTAAAACAAATCTAGGTATTATAAATGATAAATAATGATAATTGAGATATAAAATCGATATTTTTTTTTAAAAAAGCCTACTATGATCGAAACCAAAAATGCATTAAATTGCATTTTAAAACAAATCTAGGTATTATAAATGATAAAGAATGCTAATATAGATATAAAATCGATATTTTTTTGAAAATAGCCTGCTATGATCGAAACCAAAAATGCTTTAAATTGCATTTTAAAACAAATCTAGGTATTATAAATGATAAAGAATGCTAATATAGACATAAAATCGATAATTTTTTTTTTGAAAATAGCCTACTATGATCGAAACCAAAAATGCTTTAAATTGCATTTTAAAACAAATCTAGGTATTATAAATGATAGATAATGCTAATATAGATATAAAGTCGATATTTTTTTTGAAAAAAGCCTACTATGATCGGAACCAAAAATGCATTAAATTGCATTTTAAAACAAATCTAGGTATTATAAATGATAAAGAATGCTAATATAGACATAAAATCGATATTTTTTTGAAAATAGCCTACTATGATAGAAACCAAAAATGCTTTAAATTGCATTTTAAAACAAATCTAGGTATTATAAATGATAAATAATGATAATTGAGATATAAAATCGATATTTTTTTTTAAAAAAGCCTACTATGATCGAAACCAAAAATGCATTAAATTGCATTTTAAAACAAATCTAGGTATTATAAATGATAAAGAATGCTAATATAGACATAAAATCGATATTTTTTTTTTTGAAAATAGCCTACTATGATCGAAACCAAAAATGCTTTAAATTGCATTTTAAAACAAATCTAGGTATTATAAATGATAAAGAATGCTAATATAGATATAAAGTCGATATTTTTTTTGAAAAAAGCCTACTATGATCGGAACCAAAAATGCATTAAATTGCATTTTAAAACAAATCTAGGTATTATAAATGATAAAGAATGCTAATATAGACATAAAATCGATATTTTTTTGAAAATAGCCTACTATGATAGAAACCAAAAATGCTTTAAATTCCAATTTAAAACAAATCTAGGTATTATAAATGATAAAGAATGCTAATATAGATATAAAATCGATATTTTTTTGAAAATAGCCTGCTATGATCGAAACCAAAAATGCATTAAATTGCATTTTAAAACAAATCTAGGTATTATAAATGATAAAGAATGCTAATATAGACATAAAATCGATATTTTTTTGAAAATAGCCTACTATGATAGAAATCAAAAATGCTTTAAATTGCATTTTAAAACAAATCTAGGTATTATAAATGATAAATAATGATAATTGAGATATAAAATCGATATTTTTTTTTAAAAAAGCCTACTATGATCGAAACCAAAAATGCATTAAATTGCATTTTAAAACAAATCTAGGTATTATAAATGATAAAGAATGCTAATATAGACATAAAATCGATATTTTTTTGAAAATAGCCTACTATGATAGAAATCAAAAATGCTTTAAATTGCATTTTAAAACAAATCTAGGTATTATAAATGATAAAGAATGCTAATATAGATATAAAATCGATATTTTTTTTGAAAAAAGCCTACTATGATCGAAACCAAATATGCTTTAAATTGCATTTTAAAACAAATCTAGGTATTATAAATGATAAAGAATGCTAATATAGACATAAAATCGATATTTTTTTGAAAATACCCTGCTATGATCGAAACCAAATATGCTTTAAATTGCATTTTAAAACAAATCTAGGTATTATAAATGATAAAGAATGCTAATATAGACATAAAATCGATATTTTTTTGAAAATAGCCTACTATGATAGAAATCAAAAATGCTTTAAATTCCAATTTAAAACAAATCTATGTATTATAAATGATAAAGAATGCTAATATAGATATAAAATCGATATTTTTTTGAAAATAGCCTGCTATGATCCAAACCAAATATGCTTTAAATTGCATTTTAAAACAAATCTAGGTATTATAAATGATAAATAATGATAATTGAGATATAAAATCGATATTTTTTTTTAAAAAAGCCTACTATGATCGAAACCAAAAATGCATTAAATTGCATTTTAAAACAAATCTAGGTATTATAAATGATAAAGAATGCTAATATAGATATAAAATCGATATTTTTTTGAAAATAGCCTGCTATGATCGAAACCAAAAATGCTTTAAATTGCATTTTAAAACAAATCTAGGTATTATAAATGATAAAGAATGCTAATATAGACATAAAATCGATATTTTTTGAAAATAGCCTACTATGATCGAAACCAAAAATGCTTTAAATTGCATTTTAAAACAAATCTAGGTATTATAAATGATAAAGAATGCTAATATAGACATAAAATCGATATTTTTTTGAAAATAGCCTACTATGATAGAAACCAAAAATGCTTTAAATTCCAATTTAAAACAAATCTAGGTATTATAAATGATAAAGAATGCTAATATAGATATAAAATCGATATTTTTTTGAAAATAGCCTGCTATGATCGAAACCAAAAATGCTTTAAATTGCATTTTAAAACAAATCTAGGTATTATAAATGATAAAGAATGCTAATATAGACATAAAATCGATATTTTTTTGAAAATAGCCTACTATGATAGAAACCAAAAATGCTTTAAATTGCATTTTAAAACAAATCTAGGTATTATAAATGATAAATAATGATAATTGAGATATAAAATCGATATTTTTTTTTAAAAAAGCCTACTATGATCGAAACCAAAAATGCATTAAATTGCATTTTAAAACAAATCTAGGTATTATAAATGATAAAGAATGCTAATATAGACATAAAATCGATATTTTTTTGAAAATAGCCTACTATGATAGAAATCAAAAATGCTTTAAATTGCATTTTAAAACAAATCTAGGTATTATAAATGATAAAGAATGCTAATATAGATATAAAATCGATATTTTTTTTGAAAAAAGCCTACTATGATCGAAACCAAATATGCTTTAAATTGCATTTTAAAACAAATCTAGGTATTATGAATGATAAAGAATGCTAATATAGACATAAAATCGATATTTTTTTGAAAATAGCCTTCTATGATCGAAACCAAATATGCTTTAAATTGCATTTTAAAACAAATCTAGGTATTATAAATGATAAAGAATGCTAAAGCTTCTCAGATAATCTCTGTTTTGTTTCTTTTGAAATTTTTTGAATAATTTGCGGAGCGATTAATAAACACGTCTGTTTACGTTGAGATCTAGTTTGCAATTGAGCACATACTTACCTCTTTGAGTATGTTCAGTAAAAAAAAAATGTTGCGTGTGACATGTAATATTCTAATTTGAGTATGCTCATGAGTTTACTCAGTGAGCTTAATATATGTCACATAGAATGAAATGAACACATTCTCACAAAAGTTTGCAAGCTCACAGCTCGGTAGCTAGGTTCTAGTGCAGATTGAAGGTCCCATGAAGCTTTCAGGTCTTTCATTCAAGAGCGAATGAAATAACAATACGTCAGGTTACAACAAGCAATGAATTAGAATCGACTCATACCATTGTAGCACTTTTGCAATGCGTATTCTAAAGGACACCTTCAAGGCACGTGTAAAGTTTAACATTGTTAAACATTTTGCTCCAAAAGTTCCGAGAGAACTTCAATCTCTTGTTCATTCAAATAAATAGGATGCAATAGAACAACTGACTTATTACTGGAGATCAGCATCGCTTTGGACTTACTGGCATTCTAGTTCAAAAATTTTGTTGTCGTGATGTATTTTACAAACATTAGGTTTCGGATTTCGGAACCCCGCTCCTGGACATCGTAACTGAAAGCCTTTGAATTATTGTATAAAATATGAACGTGGAAGTTTAAGAGTTTTTAAATAGGTAGTCTTGTATTTTGGTTTGATTGTGTTGGTTTTTGCATCACAAAATTCAAATTTTAAAAGTCCGTTACGTTTTTTTGAAATTAATGTTACTAAAAAAAAGAAACTTTTTATACAAATGAAAAGTAATGACGTTACAAGAAATATGGATAATCCGATTTGTAAATGATGAAATGAAGTTTTACTCGAAATCTTCTGATTTAATTTTCAATGCTAATTGTTGAAAACTTATCACCAGTTATCACAAAAACGAGCAGTCTGGTTAACACATTTATAAGAGTGTAAGTACTGTGACTGCGTACAATTATCATCATATGATGTGTTTTGAGCGCCATTATCGTCTCAACAGTTAGTCGAGGAAAAGAAGAAAATGTATTCAAAGTTCCACTGTAAAATAAAAGATGTATCCTGTAAGAAAATTAGGAAATAAGAAAAACGCTATTTTGAACTCATGGGAATGTACAAACAAAATATTTTAATTTAGTTCTATTTTCTGAATTTTACACAAGTGTTTCATTTAATAATACATAATAAACGAAAGACGATGTTTGTTTTTTTGTTGTTTCTTCTTTAAAATAATGAAATCACAACTACCTTAAAATTATCTTTATGCATTATTCTAGATTTTAGGTAGATAGATAGTGATAGCCAGGAGCTTTCAAAACATATGAAAATTACAGTTTTAATGATATTTTTGATAATACAACAACAATGTTCTCATTTATGAATCATGTAATGATGCAATATAATTATGATTAAAATTTTATTCTTCTTTATATATATATTTTTTTATGGGATATTAGCAATTGAATGATAATAACTAATTGAATAGTTTATATGCACAAGTGATTCGTTCAAAAAAATCTATTGAATATCAATATCATCTTTAGAAACTACTTAAAAACAGCATCAATTTTTAAATAGTTTTGCGTGACATCAATCATCTTGTGATATCTCTAATTTAATAAATTTTTTCTGTAGAACCATCAATGATTCTCCATATTCTTTATTCGTCTTCTTTACAATTTTCCTCGTTCATGTTCTTATATGTTTGTTTGTTTCTTTTTTTTCACTTCTTCACAGTAAATTTAATGTTTAATAGTTTTGTTTTACGTTAAGTTACAGATTTGTGCGACCATTATTTATGAAAATCGCATTCACATCAGATGTACATCGTTATGTTTGAAAAAATGTAAAGAAACTTTCGCGAAATATGGGCATCAATATATAATTTAAATAGAAACTTAAAAAGTAAGAGCGAAAGAATTTATTTGGTGTATAAGTAAATGGCCACAATCAAGCCATAAAGACCCAAGACTTCAGCGAAGATCAAAATTAAAATCATACCAACAAAAAGTCGAGGTTGTTGAGCAGTTCCTCGTACACCTGCATCACCAACAATTCCAATAGCAAAACCTGCCGCCAAACCCGAAAAGCCAACAGCTAATCCGGCTCCAAGATGAATGAAGCCCCTAAAATTAAAATTAGATAAAGAATATTGACATATGATTAGTTACTATCATGAAGCGTGACTACCTTTACTATATAACTATATAGGTAAGGTAAGTGTGAGTGATCATGTGACACATATTTTAAAGAAAATTTACGAAAAATTAATTTTAAACTGATTCGATGTGTGCATCACATGCTGAATGCTTAATCCTTTTACAATCAGAAAGATGTACATTCATTGCGCATGCCTTAGGAAAAACTAATGCAATGAAGATTTCAATTTTCATCTTAAATGTTTTTTAAAAAAATTATATTACAAAGTTTTTAAATGATTTCAGAGCAACAATATTATACAAAGATAAAAGTCGAAACAATATTATTAAATATGACTAGGCTTAACGCAATATTGCATATTACTATGCATAGAGATCATTGATTTTTTTTCTCTGTATGGTCACATGACTCGCTTTGGAATGAGCAAAAAAAAGATAATCAGAATGGAACTTACTTGTAAAGAGTGTAATTTTTGGGTTCATCTAAACCTCCTGCGATGAGAACAGCAACGACCAAACCATAGATAGCAATAATACCAGCCATAACAACTGGAATGATTGATTTCATAATCAATTCAGGTCTCATGACACTCATTGCCGCAATTCCCGTTCCAGATTTTGCAGTTCCATAGGCAGCTCCGAGAGCTAATTAAGATAAAAAACATAATAGACATCATTAGAAGTGTTCTGGATCATGAAAAATTGAGAAATTTGTACAAATTTTGCACTTTTCCTTGTTTTCATCCATTTTTTTTCTTTTCGTCAATGGAATCTTTTCAAAGTACTTACCACTGAAAATAATAGCTGATGAAGCTCCCATAACTCCGAAGAATGGGCCGTAAACTGGATTGGTCTCTGGTAATGCCATTTTTTCTGATTTAAATTTGTTTTCTGTTACTTCTGAAAGTCACTTAAAAGAAATTTAATGGCAATGAGAAATTAAATAGTTCTTCTCTCTGTAATGGTCGAAATCTGACTGATCGATTCAGTAAATTCTTCTAAAGTCATTTAAAATATTTTGTTCCTCGAAAATGCTCGAAACTGCGCGAAATTCAAATTATTTTAAAAACTCAATTTTCATTACTTACCCGATTATTTAAAATATGCAGTTGGTCACAAACACAACTAGTTTAAGTTTAATTGACTTTTAACGTCTTTAAATAGCTTATTTATTAATTTATTTAAATAAATTTGGTGCTCGAATTACGAAAAGCGAGGGGAAAACAACTTGAGAAAAAAATACAATTTTTATCAGGAAAAAAAATTAAAATATTGATTTTAAACTTATATAGAGTACTTAATAACGAAGAAAACTATATAAGAATACGACGACAATAATTGATGACTTGATATTTATTAATATTAGACACTTTTTTAAGAAAGAGAGATTTACACATCAAAAACATGGATTTTTGTACTAAAAAATTCAAAAATATTCCGTTAAAATATCATAAAAGGAAGTTAATTATTTTATGCATTACTATGCACAATTTTAAGTATATTTAATGCAAAATGAAGTATAAATAAATATAAAATAACAAAATCGTTGCAATAAGTCAAAGCTAGTACAATAAATTAAAGTTTCATAATAGATAATTAAACTAATCACAACATTACTTTTCTTCATCACATAAAGGCTGCTTGTGATGAGATATTTTCTTGTTTCTTTGGAAACTAAATAGCTTGGCTAGTTGAAAAAACTTTTTCTTGCCACTTTTGCCCATATGCCTTAGTCGTTCTTCAAAACTTGCATCTGAAATCTTCCCTTGCTCATTTTCAAGAGTTGACAAAAACTCCTGATTAAATCTAAAACAAATCTCTTGTCGATTATTTGCACATGACATGAATATCCTGAAAATAATTTACCTTAATTCGTTCAAAAACTCTTCATTTTGAAGCATTATTACAAATTCATCTTCCTGATCACTAAGTCGCAAAAAGCTGTCTGGAATCTAAATTGCTTTATTATGATACCCCCTTTTTCTTAAAGAAAAAATATTTTAATGATTTACCGTCAGAATTGCTCGGTTCCAATTATTCTTTCTTAAATCATCTTTCTTGACTGACGATGTGCTTGACTGCTTTTCTTCGAGCTGCAATTACTTCTTTATAGCAGTCTAAATAGTAAAAAAAAAACAGTGATACCCACCTTTTGAGTTTGTGAACTAATTTCTAATAAATGATCAATTGTAAGTTCAAGACTCCTGACTTCTTTAAAAACTGACTGAATGATTTCTGATTCCTTTGATAAGAAAAAAGTTTCCAGCATTAATTTACAATTGAGCTTTAAAAAGCTTTTAATTTTTTTTTACCATATCAGGAAAAAGTTCTTTGACAGCGATTATAACGTTAGTCTCATTACAAAGCATATCGTTATGTTCCTATAATAATTAAAAGATATAAATATTTTTAAGGAGAGACTAGGTATAAATAAAAGTTCTCTTACCATTTTTATGCTCTCTTATGACTTTAAAGAATAAGAATTCAATCCGTAAAATTCGATTTATGCTTGATTATATTTGAATCCACATATTCCGATTTTAAAAGAATTAATGTATAATTTTGTCGACAGGAATCTCAGGACAATGTATTTTTTTTTAAATCAATGAAAAGTGGTTTACATCCACACCAGGGATTAATACTACAATCATGCCATTAAAAAAACCTTAAATAATTGTGATTGAAAATTAAAAATTGAGCATAATCAGAAAATGTGACAATTTTTATGGCAATTAAACCTTTTTTTGAACCCTTAAGCTATTTTAATAAGCGTGAAAAAGTCATGCGAAGCATAAACGAGCATCAATCCCTAGTCCATTTTAAAAGGGGGATGTTTTTAGAAAATTGAGCATATGTAGTCTATGTTTCATGTTGTAGTATTAGTGAGTGAGCAAAACAGACAGGACGCTTAACTCTAGATAGATTTATTGGATTTATTATAAATTAAATTAAACTTTTTTAAGAATAAAGATTTTTAATCATTTATTTGTGTAATTATGGAGGAAGATGGTGAACAAGTTTTGCTACCCAAAGAGGATACTGCTGAAGCAGTGAAAAAAGATGAAGTTGAAACTGAAAATGCCGAGAAAAAAGATAACGTTAATGAATCATTAATTCAAGTAGAAAATAATGTCGAAAAAGAAGAGAAGAAAGGAAAATTTTTCAGCTTTTTGGATAAGAAAAAATTAAATTCCAGCGATACAGAAGAAATCAAAGATTCTAATCCACCATCAAATTTTAGCTTTAAGAAATTTTTCTCAAAGAATGAACCAAAAAGTAATGCTGCTGAGGAAGAAAAACAGAACGGTTTGTTCCCATATAAAAATTTCATATTGCTGACTTTTGTTTTTCTCATGTAAATTTTCTATTCATATGTGTGTATAGGCATAGAACAGTCTACTGAACAAAATCAAAGCCAAAGACCTTCAAAAAGGCAACTGCCGAAGTTTTCAAGCTTTCTTGACAGGTTCCGTAAAGGAAAATGTAAGTTTTAACTCAATGCATGTCTCAATGAATTAAAGGGGGGGGGGGGGGGGGGGGGGTGTTAATATGTGGAAAAGTTTTTGATTGACATCATGTGTTAATCAATTCATACATAAATGGGGGGGGGGGGGGTGGGGGGGGGGGGGTGTTAACAGTGGAAAAGTTTTTGATTGACATCATGTGTTAATCAATCCATACATAAATCAACATAAATGTAATATGAAACCTTTAAATGCTATCCAATTATAGACGATGTTGCCGAAAACATTGAACTTGGAAGTGAACCAAAAGCCGGATTGGCTTCAATGGAAACGCTGGATGATTCAACAAAAGATCCATGGACGGAAAATGGAGATACAGTAGATACGACGACTAAAGCAAATGAGGCTAATGATCACCAAAATGAGTTACCTGCAGAAAAACCTATTAATATTTGGCAAAGTATTCAAAGCTATGAATGCTCTATAGGTACATATACTCTTAACATTGATAACATACTTGTATACATTATAGCTTCTTATCACGCTACATTTTATAATTAGATGATGTTGCTCTTTTTGCTGGAATCATCATTTTTATATTCCTCGTTGGATTAATAATTATCTTTACGTTAACTGCAAGTGGAAAGCAACCAATCTCACCTCCGGTTAGAGACGGCAAAATTCTAGCTGTGACGTCATGTGGACAAGTCGAAGGATTAGTTGAAGAATCAGCATACGCATTTAGAGGAATTCCTTATGCGAAACAACCGATCGGTAAAATATATATAAAACGCTATGCTTAACATACTTCTATAAACGCTTATTGATTTTCATAAAATAGGAAACCTTCGATTTACACCGGCTCAATCAGTTCAAACTATAGAAGACTGTTGGAACGGCACATTCAAAGCACATAATGCATCTCAATCATGCTTGCAATATGACTTCAAATCTGGAAATGTTAGTGGCATTGAAGATTGCCTTACACTTGATATTTTAACTCCCGAGGTAGATTGATATACTCTGATCATGTTGAATGACTATTGATTACTAATGACAATTTTATTTGAACTTTTTAAGGTACGATATATCAATCTTTTGCCGGTAATTGTAATGATTGGAGCCAACGATTTTGTCAACGGTTCACCAAACATACTTCGACCATCATCAAGATATGCTAGATCTGAAAGTGTCCTTTTTGTCAGACCAAATTTCCGAATGAATGTTTTTGGACATTTAGCATTAGAGTCAATTTCAAATTCCTCAAACATACCCTCATCTGGAAACTATGCTTTGTCTGATATTATAGCTGCCTTAGAATGGTACGTTAGTATGTTTTATAGAATAAATCTTGAATTAACCAAACTTTATTCAATCATAGGATCAATTTGAATATCCACAATTTTGGTGGTGATAAAAACTCTGTTACATTGTTTGGACATAGAACTGGCGCTACTTTGGTGACAGCTCTAACTGCTTCGCCAAAGGCCACGAAATATTTCACAAAAGTTTGGGCATCTTCTGGATCTCAACATTTCTCAGGGAAATCATTAGAAGACTCTGAGCGAGAAAATGCTGAATATGCAAATCAATTCCCGAATGTTAAGAGTTTAGAGGATTGGCAAAAAGTTGATAGTACAGAACTTATGAAGAAAATGCCCGAGACATGGATGAAAAAGCATTCAAACAGTCTTCCAGATCGTGATGAATCAGCAACAAGTTTCCATGATTGGATCGTATTAGATGGAGTAATTTTAAAGAAGCATCCTGAAGATTTCTGGAAAGCAACTAATCCAAAAATAAAAATGGTTGTTGGAGCAACAGCTCATGCTTCCTTTGATGATTCTGAAGGTTCAATATTTAACGGAAATTTGACAGAAGAAGAAATTGAAAAATATGTCGAAGACAGCAAAATTGGAAGTTTAAACTTGACTGAAGAAGCTTTTAATTTATACGGAAAGACAAAAGAAGGTAATTAAGATTAAAGTCAAGTGATGACAGTATTAATCATTTACGATATCTTACAGGACTTATTTCAATGATTTCTGATATTCGTATTGTGTGTCCGTTGCTTGTTCAAGCAAGAAGTCAATCGAATCCCAACTTTTATTTCTACATATCTTCACAAAATGTAGGAACGAATAATCTTGCATCCGTTGATTCAGACATCTTGGCTATATTAGGTTTGTATATTGAAAAAGACAACTTAAGGATCAATAAAATAACCAACGTTCGATAATTTTTTTCATAGGTCGATTGAAAACAGACTCGCCAGAAAAAAGAAGATTCTTTAATGCTTTTAAGCAACTGTTTTATCATTTTATATATCATGGAAAAATCAATCATCAGTTTTTCGAGATCCAGCAAGACGTGTTACCAAAAACTGATTTTAAAAATTGCGATTTTTGGATTTCGAAAGACATTGTTCCAAGTTATGCTGCTTACTTTTAAGTTTTCAATATCTGTATAATTTTCAACAGGCATAACTAATTCAATCAGTATTATCAGTTTACTTATGTGTGAATCCTAATTTGATCTTCAGTAATGTATAACTTAAACATTCCTTTCTTACTCAACATAATAATCCTTTTCAGAAACTCATAATATGATATTAACATTTTTTTTTTGAGGCTTTATCATAATTTTATATATCTATGTATGACTGAAATAATTTTTTTAAATACTTTTAAATAATAATTTTTTTAAGTAATATATTTTGACTAGCGTGTTTGTGTAGTAATTTAATTATTGGTTTTTAGAACAAGTCAAATAAATAATAAAGAAAGAAAATGAACCACGACCAGTTTTGAGCAGATTTCAGATTGACGTTTTCACTCAAATTATCTCTAACGAGCAATGATCACGATCAAATGCGATTTTTGTGATAATGAAATGGAGTTGTTATAATGAAAATTTTTCATCATCAATCCATACATCTTATTATTGTGTATCTTAATTATTTATTGTAATTGGGCCCCGACGAAAAAAAATTATTCGTGAGTGACGCTTCAAATCTTAAATATCTCCGAAACCACAATAGTGACAAATTTCAAAGTTATTTTATCTTGTGGGAAACAAAAATTTCTATCTTTTGACATACAACTCACTTCCTTTTCTTGAGTATTTTGCCATAACTTTGTCAGTTTTCATTGATATATCTTCAAATGTATTTGTTTAGATCAGAAATTTTATTCTCTTTTGATTGGCTTCAAAAAAAAAATAAAAAATTGTCCCCGAAACATACTTAAATGAACAAAATTAAGTTTAAAAAATTTTAACGGTTTTAAATTTTTTGAATTTTTTTTGTCGTGAGATGTTTGTTTACAAACAAAAATTGAAATGAAATTTAAAAAGTCATGAAAATATGACTCAATAATGATGTTAAAGCTCTTAAAATAGGCAGAATAGCTAATGTATCATCTACTTTTCGTAATCATGTCATAATATTTGGGAATAATGATTGAATAATTCAGATATTTGAGAATTTAATTTTTTGATGTTTTGTAAGATAGTGTTTGTAAATTTCAAATTTAATTTTTCCGTTGAGCAATAATTCTTAAAGAAATCGTCGAGACCCAATTACATAAGTCCCCCTCCCAATCCCCTGGCACAAAATTGTCACGTTGTCAGTGCAAAATTCTGTTTTTGAAATACTTTCAAGTTATATTCATTTTCCCATACAGGTTCTAAATGCTCATTAATATTTATTATGTTACTAGTTTCTTTTAAGATTATATTTGGTTTAATTCAATAGCCACCTATTCTACATCATTATTAATTTGAACCATTACCTTATTTTTGCGCTTACTGATGATTTTCTTACTTTTCTTTTCTTAGTTTTCTTTTTTTTGTATTGAAAGAGATGGACATGTTATACACAATGCTTGAACTAATAGTCAAATTTTGATTTTTTTTTTTTTTTTGATATCTTGCCTTTTCCTTGAAGTCACCATCTATAAATATAAAATAATATAAATATGGTAAAAGAAATATTTAAATTATTATACTTTTTAATGTGTGTAATGTTAAGTGAGCAGTTCACCCACAAATTTTTTTACAAATAAAAGAAGAAATTGTATTTTATTAGAAATTCTTAAAGAAAACTTATAAACCATTTCAATAATTAAAAAAAAACTTATTGTTATCGCTCTTCTAAGATTAATGTTTCCTGAGGTACAAGATTCAGTTTCTTTAAAGTATCGTTTGGATCAAGCAATGTAAGCTGTTGACAAGAAAATAAAATTGTTATGAGGGTAATTTCATAGTAAGAAGCACAACTTACATCTCTTCTTGGGAAGCTAGAGATAATTTTAAACTCTGTTGGCGAAAATCCATTTGCAGTGGCATAATTAAATAATATCTGAGATTGGTACAGAAAATAAATAAATTAATCAATTATAAAAAAAAAAATATGCTGTAATAAAAATACCTTTAATTGAGTATCGACTGTAAACTTTCGTTCAATAAATTCTCCCGTTGGCTTTCTAAAACGAATTTTTGTGATTTTTTGAGCATCACCATGCAAAGGTTCTGGAGGTAAGGAATTTTCAGCATTTTTTCTTTCAGCTTCCTTCTTAGCTTCAACTTGCATTCGTTCATATTCTTGTTTTTGTCGCTCTGTCTCAATCATCTTTTCAATTCTAAGTTTTTCTTCTTCTTTAGCCATGTCAGCCTACAATTGTTGGTATTAAAATAAATTTTTACTCAAAATTCAAGAATCATATATGCTTACCAATAAGCTCTCTTGATAAGCTTGCTTTTGTTCATTTAAAAGAACTTCTCTTGCAGCACGCTCATTTTCTTCTCGAATTTCTACTTTCATTTGTTCATTAAAGGCATCTGAATTCATCATTAAGTGTATATAAAGTTCATCGCCATTGATGTTTCCATGAATAATGTCTGCAACCTCACAAATACTTCTATATTTACGAATAATTATTATAATAGGGAATTGATTGATGGGTAAATTGCGGATTTGTAGCGATGCTGAGTCGGCAACACAAGCCGTCAACGATGACAAAAACCTAGAATGTCGTAGAACACATGTTAGTGATTAATTCATGATCACTAAATGAAGAACTTACATATTTTTGTTGCTTTCACAAGTTAAATCCCATCCGAATAAAATGTAGTTTTCATTTAATAGCTTTATGATATTATCATTTCCTAATAATTGCCCGCAAAATACATTTGATAAAACACTATTATCGTGATGCAAGTATACAGCTAATAACTTTCTCTAAAAAATTGATAAGAGTATTCCGATTATCATAATATTTTACTGGTAAAAAACAATATAACTCACGTCCTTGGCTGATTTTGAAGTGTAAGCTGTTTTCATTGCATCTTCTAAACTTCCTTCGAAAAACGACGGGCCATTTCCATAACGTTCTTTATAGTTATTAACAAACTGCAAACTGCCCAAAATTTCATCTAAAACGAGAATATTCATTATTTGCCTTGTGTCGTTTTGTGATTTTTAAACAAATCTTGTGCTACCTTCGATTTTATCTTCGACTGGAAAAGTAATAAAACATTAATTAAATTACACTCTTTATATTTATAATTTTTTAAATAAACTTTACTTAATAACTTAAGTCGGTTGTGATGTACAGTCTCTGTAAATATGTCATCATCAGCATGAGCATCTTCAAATTCTTCCACCGAATCTGAATCGGAATCGTGTATTTCAACTGGTCTAAAAGGTTTAATAAACAAGTTTCAGAGATTCATTTACTCGAGTCATGAAAGTAAGAGTTATTTTAAGATATTTACGCATTATCAATGCTGATCCTTGAAGAACTACCTTCGTTGCTAGTACAAGTCAATTTCAATGAATGAATTGGTTCGATTCCCATTTCATTGAGCTTTGTTGCATTAGATACATTTGTAGGCCAGCCTTCCCATTTTTGGAATCGAACAGGAATTTTCAATACTGCATTTAAATCATTCTTAATATCAATTAATGTTTTTGTAGCAGGAAAGTTGAGATTTAAATGCCTGTCTTCATTGGTATAGTATATTCGTAGTTGATAACTTAATTCTGAATTCAATGGACTTAGCAGAGGCATGTCAACTGGAAATCCTACAATCAAAAAAATTATGTTTCAATTAAGGTTTGCTCAAAAATGTTTAAACAACTTTTAAAGTTTTACCTTCATTTGACAAGTCATTCAGCTCTACATTATTTTCAACGGGAAGGTTTAAGGATCTGAGCACTATAGAGTCATTTTGTAAATCATTCATTGTAAAGTTTAGCAATCCTCTTATGTTTTGTCGACAAACAGGAACTGAAGTTCTCTTCATGATATTTTGTTTCAAATCGCCTAAAATAACATTTTTAATAATTTTCTTTCTGACTATTTCATGTTTTTTATTGTTTTTATAATAAAATACGTACCAATAGTTTTTTGATCTGACAAGTTTAATCGAAACAAAGAATTCTTAAAGCGTACATTGAAATTTAAATACGTTTCTCGTGACGTTCCTAAAATTATTAATATTTAAGACATTTCATAATATTACTTGAACCTTTATCATTTTTAATGACTAACCAGCAATAATCTCGGGAGGGGGGGCTTCTGGAAAATTATGATTTAAAACTTTGGTATCGCTTTCATGTCCACCATCAAGACTTAAATGAATAGCTGCCTGTAAATTTGGAAAATTTGCTGAATCATTATTTCCTGATCAAAATTATTTAATTGAATTCTTACCTCTAAATCCCATCCAGTAGATTCTAGCAAGTGAATCGATCCTGCAATATCCATTGCAGTAATTTGCTAAAGTAAGAGACACAATATTTAAAGTATTTTTTTTTTGTTATGCAAATTTTAAATTTCTCCTTTAATACAACAAATACTCACTTGGAAATTGGCTAGAATTTCTTCCTTGTTTATTGCGCTGTCCATTTCATTAATTTCTACTGTTCTTAAGTAATTAATTACTAATATTTTCGGATTTTTTGTTTTTTTACAATTAATTTGACTTCTCTCCAATAAGAAAATTATTTTTGAAAAGTCTTAGAAAAAGCGCATTTTTGCACAAATTTAATAAATTATGCTTAATGTATTGATCTTAGACAAAAGATGTGATCAAATAACTGTATACAATCTTTTTAATTAAATAAAATTCACAGATTAAAGATTAACAATGGTTTAAAACTGAAATGTCAGACCGACATGAAATGCGACTTTTTCTATTAACAATGTTAATGTTGCTCACAAATTTTTTTGAATTTATTTATAACGTTGTATTAGTTTGTAGTGTTTTTTACGACCAGTTTGCTCGTCCTAATCTTAGATGATGAGTAATGAGTATCCTATGGCAAAAAAGTAAATTTTCAACCTTCAGAACCCTTTCATTCCACGTTTCTTACATCCATATCATGGCTACATACATTCAAAACTCTAGAGTTCAATGTTATTCTCGTTATTTCCACTACCTACTGAAACTATATTTAGCTTTCTTCCTTCTTATGCTCAACATCCATAACATCCATATATACAAGTTAAAGCCAAATATTTCTGAAATTTCTCTATAAAATTTTAAGGAGAAGAGGTGTGTAAAAAAACATAAATTAAGAAAAACGTGGTAAAATGGTAAAAAATACACCAACACGTTCGGTTAGTTCTACACATAGGAAAAGTTTATTCCCGCACTTAATCTGTATGAGATTTCTTTCGGATGCTTCAGAAATATATTTTCCAAATTCGTAGAATTTTTCATTATCTATTGTCACATTGCCGTTCAATTGCTTCTCCCTAACCCAAACGTTTAAATGACTGTATTAAACTGAGCGATACAGTAAACATCATCAAGTCTGTCAAGATAAAATTGATAGCATTGTGCCAGGTATGCACACTTTTTTGGGTTTATATCTGCATTGTTTTTTTTTTAATTGATCTATTTTTCTTTGATTCCGCGCTATCGAAACTTTCCCAATGCACTTGATTGGATCGGCTCTGAATCATCACTATCGAATTAAACTTTAGGCGAAATTCTTGAGATTCTGAACGTCTTGGAGTGTTTTAATAATTTTATGGAACTCATTGATGACTGTGAGTCTGTTCAACGGACTATGCATAGGAAGCATACATCAGATTATTTGAAAGATGCAGCAATTTTTGAAAAGGGTACATAAATTGATGAGATGCTTTTTTGGATCTAATTTTCAATCAAAATGATAAATTGCTTGAAATATCCGTTGAATGCTATCGTACTTAACAATTCAAGTTATATTTGCTCGGAAAATTTGCATTTGTGTTGAATGGATTTGATAAAATCAAAACAATAAAGTCAAATGAGTATCAAGAAGGCATCTGAAAACATCACAGAAATCGTCACAGTATAATGATAGGCTATTGTATAATAGACTATTCTATACTAGGAAACTAAAGAAGAGAAGCATCCCTTAACACGAACTAATCATTGATCCTGATGACTACATGATATCAATTGATTATATATTCTAACTTTCATTTATGATTCGAGACGGAGGTTTAGGAATAGCTTAAATTCAGAGAAAGCACAATTGACAGTAGGAGATCAAAAAACATAAAATTTAAGTTACTTTACTACATTTAAATACTGAAAATAACCACAATGAGAACCACGATACTGTTAAATTTATTATGCCATTTTCAATAGACTATTCTTGTTGCTTATACCTTTAATTCCATGTGTTGTTCATTCGTCTGTTGATATTTTCTATTTGATGCTGGTGTTGAAATTCTATAAGACATGGCGCTGCAGAACTTAAAGCTGGAGATGCTTCCTGCTTAATTGACTCAGCTGCTTATAATTGCTCACCTCTGATAATACCATTATCATAAAATATTGGAATTTGTATTAAATTAAGAGAATTATGTATCTTTAATATCATTGACAAAATGTCAGTAAAATGTAAGCACTCTAAGTGCCGAAAAAAATTTTGGGCAGGACGGTGAGGCATTTTCTCTTTTTATACCCATAAAAATTCTTTTAGACAAGTCTAAAAGAGTTTCGTTAAAAAGTATTACCTGAATTAAAAGCTGAAGTCCTGGATGAATCTCAAACGTCTCTCAAAGCTTCACGTTCAGCTCATGGAAGGATTGGCAATAAAAACACCCACTGTTGCTTCAGGTTATGCAGATCCAGGTCGAAATCGGGCTACACCATGGTCAAAGTCATAGGAGGACAGTTTTTGTTTTCGACTACTTCAAACTTGTTGCTGCGATGATCTCTTATTTTTGTAATGGCTATCCATTATTTGACGGTGAAAATGCTGGGTTATTTGTTATATAATTATATTATGCCATTTTCAATAGACTATTCTTGTTGCTTATACCTTTAATTCCATGTGTTGTTCATTCGTCTGTTGATATTTTCTATTTGATGCTGGTGTTGAAATTCTTTAAGACATGGTGCTGCAGAACTTAAAGCTGGAGATGTTTCCTGCTTAATTGACTCAGCTGCTTATAATTGCTCACCTCTGAGAATACCATTATCATAAAATATTAGAATTTGTCTAATACAAAATGTCAATAAAATGTAAGAACTCTTAGTGCCAAAAAAAAAATTTTGGGCAGGACGGTGAGGCATTTTCTCTTTTTATACCCATAAAAATTCTTTTAGACAAGTCTAAAAGAGTTTCGTTAAAAAGTATTACCTGAATTAAAAGCTGAAGTCCTGGATGAATCTCAAACGTCTCTCAAAGCTTCACGTTCAGCTCATGGAAGGATTGGCAATAAAAACACCCACTGTTGCTTCAGGTTATGCTGATCCAAATTGAAATCAAGCTACATCATGGTCAAAGCCATAGGAGGCAAGTTTTCGTTTTCGACTATTTCAAACTTGTTGCTGCGATGATCCCTCATTTTTGTAATGGTTATCCATTATTTGACGGTGAAAATGCTGGGTTGTTTGTTATATAATTATATTATGCCATTTTCAATAGACTATTCTTGTTGCTTTTACCTTTAATTCCATGTGTTGTTCATTCGTCTGTTGATATTTTCTATTTGATGCTGGTGTTGAAATTCTTTAAGACATGGCGCTGCAGAACTTAAAGCTGGAGATGCTTCCTGCTTAATTGACTCAGCTCCTTATAATTTCTCACCTCTAAAGATTCCCTTATCATAAAATATTGGAATTTGTATTAAATTAAGAGAATTATGTATCTTTAATATCATTGACAAAATGTCAGTAAAATGTAAGAACTCTTAGTGCCGAAAAAAAATTTTGGGCAGGACGGTGAGGCATTTTCTCTTTTTATACCCATAAAAATTCTTTTAGACAAGTCTAAAAGAGTTTCGTTAAAAAGTATTACCTGAATTAAAAGCTGAAGTCCTGGATGAATCTCAAACGTCTCTCAAAGCTTCACGTTCAGCTCATGGAAGGATTGGCAATAAAAACACCCACTGTTGCTTCAGGTTATGCAGATCCAGGTCGAAATCGGGCTACACCATGGTCAAAGTCATAGGAGGACAGTTTTTGTTTTCGACTACTTCAAACTTGTTGCTGCGATGATCTCTTATTTTTGTAATGGTTATCTATTATTTGTCGGTGAAAATGCTGGGTTGTTTGTTATATAATTATATTATGCCATTTTCAATAGACTATTCTTGTTGCTTATACCTTTAATTCCATGTGTTGTTCATTCGTCTGTTGATATTTTCAATTTGATGCTGGTGTTGAAATTCTTTAAGACATGGTGCTGCAGAACTTAAAGCTGGAGATGCTTCCTGCTTAATTGACTCAGCTCCTTATAATTTCTCACCTCTAAAGATTCCCTTATCATAAAATATTGGAATTTGTATTAAATTAAGAGAATTATGTATCTTTAATATCATTGACAAAATGTCAGTAAAATGTAAGAACTCTTAGTGCCGAAAAAAAATTTTGGGCAGGACGGTGAGGCATTTTCTCTTTTTATACCCATAAAAATTCTTTTAGACAAGTCTAAAAGAGTTTCGTTAAAAAGTATTACCTGAATTAAAAGCTGGAGTCCTGGATGAATCTCAAACGTCTCTCAAAGCTTCACGTTCAGCTCATGGAAGGATTGGCAATAAAAACACCCACTGTTGCTTCAGGTTATGCAGATCCAGGTCGAAATCGAGCTACATCATGGTCAAAGCCATAGGAGGACAGTTTTTGTTTTCGACTACTTCAAACTTGTTGCTGCGATGATCTCTTATTTTTGTAATGGTTATCCATTATTTGACGGTGAAAATGCTGGGTTATTTGTTATATAATTATATTATGCCATTTTCAATAGACTATTCTTGTTGCTTATACCTTTAATTCCATGTGTTGTTCATTCGTCTGTTGATATTTTCTATTTGATGCTGGTGTTGAAATTCTATAAGACATGGCGCTGCAGAACTTAAAGCTGGAGATGCTTCCTGCTTAATTGACTCAGCTGCTTATAATTGCTCACCTCTGATAATACCATTATCATATAATATTGGAATTTGTATTAAATTAAGAGAATTATGTATCTTTAATATCATTGACAAAATGTCAATAAAATGTAAGCACTCTAAGTGACGAAAAAAATTTTGGGCAGGACGGTGAGGCATTTTCTCTTTTTATACCCATAAAAATTCTTTTAGACAAGTCTAAAAGAGTTTCGTTAAAAAGTATTACCTAAATTAAAAGCTGAAGTCCTGGATGAATCTCAAACGTCTCTCAAAGCTTCACGTTCAGCTCATGGAAGGATTGGCAATAAAAACACCCACTGCTGCTTCAGGTTATGCAGATCCAGGTCGAAATCGAGCTACATCATGGTCAAAGCCATAAGAGGACAGTTTTTGTTTTCGACTACTTCAAACTTGTTGCTGCGATGATCTCTCATTTTTGTAATGGTCATCCATTATTTGACGGTGAAAATGCTGGGTTATTTGTTATATAATTATATTATGCCATTTTCAATAGACTATTCTTGTTGCTTATACCTTTAATTCCATGTGTTGTTCATTCGTCTGTTGATATTTTCTATTTGATGCTGGTGTTGAAATTCTATAAGACATGGCGCTGCAGAACTTAAAGCT